GACAACTGTCAAATGCTGCCAAGTGACATTGGACAATTCATCCTTTGACCTACAAGTGAAATACACCTGTGTTCTTCCTGTGATCCCTATTATTCAAAAGTAAATAGACTCTTAGGGGTAAATCATAAAACAATCTGTGGCACATTCAACACAGTGACACACTGTTCTATTTCACCATGCTGGAGAAGGAAACTGAGTTTTCCAAGTTCCTGGTATTCAGCTGAGCTTTGGTGGGATCCAGTCATTTGACGTTCAGCTCCCAGATGGAAGGACGGAGCTGAAACAGGGGGGGCATAAAAACTGGAAATTGCGTCTGCCATTTCATTAACCGAGTCTGCCCAGGTACTGCATCTCAAGTAAGAACATATAATTCTGTTTCTCTTTTGGTAGCGTTTACAAGGTAATTTAACAGATTAGTGTAACTACACTTCCAACACCCAACATCAGCTAGGCATCAGACGAGTCAACGCAAACAATCAATATGAGAAAGACAGGCTGGTTTGGTGGGACATAGTTCTCCAAGATATCTGGGATGACAGCAGTATTTTCCTGCTTTACTAATAAGTTTTTGAGTTTTTTGTGGGAGTGGGTTTGTTTTTAGGGGAGTTTGTTTTCTTTTATTTTTTTAAATTTTATTTTGAAGTTAAAGAGCTTTAGGTACCTGTTCATAGATGATGAACTCGAAAAGAAACCTTTAATTTTGCAAACCTGACTTCCTAAAATGGAATCCATTTTGGCATTCAAAAGTCATATTAGATAGTTCAAAGACAGTTAGTACAGAAACAGCTTTTAAACTGCGTGAATGATGCAGCACAACAAAGGACTGAAGTGTGTTTCCAACTCACGTCTCTCCTGAGCTGCACTCCAAAAGGTAGCAGTCTAAAGAAATGTCAGCAGCATCCCTTACTGCTGGCCACATCAGAAGATCCAGCTCCCTAGAAACAACTCTTCTACCCATGCAAAAGCAGGGAGAATACGCACCGTGTGGAATCCCAACCTTGGCTGTCTGTTGAAGATGACACAAAGGTTAAACACCCACTAAAGAATTATTATAGAGCCTTGAGCTACGGGCTTATTATCTCTAATGCTGCAATCAATGGCTTCTTGCCTCACAAAGTGTGTATTAGCATCTTTCAAACCAACCCAGATGAATTTATTTCGTATGTTGTATAAAAGAATAGCACTATTAACCTAACTAGAACTAAGATTCCTTTGTTAAAAACTATAAATTATACTTTTGCTTTGACTTCAACCACAGTCAAGGGCTTTTTGATATATGCACTTTGTTTTTCTAGCGTGCTTTGAAAGAACTGTGCTGCTTGGCTGCGCAAAAATGTGAATTACTTGTTTTCAAGAGTAGCCGACTATCCAGTGGAGGAGGGCATGACCTCTTTTCATAGTAGGCCAGCAGAAAACTTCTCTTTTTAAATGAAAATGGGAAGGAATTTTGATTGTGTTGTGTTAAACAATTACGAAGAGTCAAAATATCTATTAAAACAGCCTAGCCTGAAAAATGACATGATTAGGAAGAACTTGCCAAAATTATTTAAATGTAGAAATTGAAATATTAAGCTAAATGGCATCAAAATAATTTATGGCACAGTAAAATTACTGTGCTAACATTAGTTTCATACAATAGGCTATTCAAGATGATTTGACTGTACTTCAAGTATAAGGCAACTCTTTGATACCATTAACCCTAAATGACAGACATTTAAACTGATATTACTCTAATTAACTGGCGACTGCCTACACCAATAATTCAAGTTTTGCTGAAAGATAGCAACAACACTGTACTCAACTTCAACTTTGCCCTGGTGACATCAAATCATATTACAGCTAAATTAACAGTTGTGAAAATTTTTGGCCTGGTAGCCCTCCATCATACACAGCCTTTAAATGCCATTTCGGTTCCCATCAAGGCAGGAATCAGCAGTTGTAATTTTTAATACAGCTGTGAAACAATAGCACATATTAAAAGCTGATTTTTTGACAGCATATTCGTGATGATTTATGAGTTTGTATATAATTTGATTATTCTATTAATTTTACTGATTACTGATTCAGCTAATACAGTGAAGGTCACTTACAAAATAAATCTTCATTACATTTCACAGAAAGTAACTGCCTCCAACTAGTTGTTTTCTTTAATTAAACACTAATGTAACAAGAGAGAAAATAGGCTTCAGGGTTGCTGCATCTGTTGCTACAAGAGGAGTATACTGCTTTGATGTAATGCTCTCTGATATTAATTGAACAAAAATAGAATGTCTCTCCATCTGACATCTTCATTTTCAACAGAGAGATACCATGAAAACCCTTAAATTACAGCCCTACCCTTAGTTCATTCTGAGACTACAGGAAGAATTGCAAAACTGTATCACATAGTCTCACACCAAAAAAGGTAGGTTTTATTTCTAGCATATAGTTTTCTCCTACTTTCTGAAACACATGGAGCAATTAATTAAAGAATTGATTATTTTTTCCCCCACCTGCAGTGTCTCCTATAGCAAAAACTATTTGCTTCCCTCCTTAAAGATGAAGACTGCAGGTACAGCACAGCGAGCTTTGGAGAAAGATCAAACAAAAACATTCCAAGTGCCGAATTAATGAATTATCCTCTTTCAATTTATTTTTACACACAGAGCAAGCTGTGACCTGCTTCTTATGTTAAATTCTGTGTTTCCTGAAAGGTCCCTAGAACTTCAGCATTCCCTACATTGTTGTATGTTCTAAAAACATTAAAAAATGGAATACAGACAAATCAAATAAATAAAATGGCTACAGTTAAAACCCAGCTATTTTTCCCAACACAGTTGCCATAAACAAGTCAAGTCTCAGAATGTGCACACGCCTGTGTGAAGACAAAAAAAAAAATATAAAAAACAGCACCAAGGAAATAACAGAGACAATAATCAACGTGAAGCAGAACTGCCCTGGCAGTTGGAGAGCTATTGGAAAGGTCAGTATGGGGCAATAAGTGCTTAAGGAAGTAAATGAAGAGTCAAATATTTTGTCTTTTTTCTGGGGATTATTTTCAGCATTCCAGTTTCTACATCCAATTAGCAAAATGATGGTTTTAACCTGTCAGAACGTTCCCAAATCGTTGACAACCAGAA